ATCTCTTGGTGTTTTATGGAGTACAGCTAAATTAGCCATAATCCGAGTGTGTCTATTTAAAAAGTAAACTGAGCAATTTGTTTACGAGTTGAACTCGTTGCCGATTTTCCAGTTTGTGTCTGCAGCAAGTTCTTTAACGCGGCCAAAAGAAAAAAAAAAAAAAAACACATCGAAGCAAAACAAAACAAATCGCAGCACCGACAGACGGCCACAAAAAGCCAAATTCGAATTGAGCACAAACGCCAAAGCAAAGCGAAGGCAAAGAGCGGGCAGCCAGGCCAAATTCAAAATACAAAATACGAAAGCGAAAAAAAAAAAAAAAAACACAAACAAGCAGAACTAAAACAATTTCAATTTCAAAAGCAAATTTTTGCTGTTTAGTATTGTATTTTAAAAGCAAGCAATTGTTGAGGAGAGTAGCAAAATGTTGTTCAGCTCAGTTGCTGGCTGCCAGGTTGGGTTGGCGTCTCTCTGCTGCTTGGCGCTCGATGCCAGTTGGCCCCGGACAATTTCAGTGCACGGCTCGCGGCGCTGCAAAACAATTCGAGGATAGTGCAAGAAATAAATTAAGAACAAAATTATGCATAAACTATAATTAAACTCTAACTGTATGCAAATTCGAACCATTTTTTATGTGTGTGTGAAAAATTTTGGAGAAACGAAAACGAATCGAAATAAAAAACCAAACGAAATTTTCGAAATTGTTAAGTGAAAACCATTTGTGGTAAATATTTTAGCAAGGAATTTGGTGAATTTCGTAATTGCAACATTTTCAAATACATTGTGGCTCTCGCAAATGTCTCTCATGATCTCACGCTCATTCGCTGTCTCCGTCTATCTCTCACTCTCTTTATCTCTGTCTTTGTTTCTGCCAATGTACAACTCTCTCTCGCTGTCTTATGTAATTGTCGATTGTTGCGAATTGTTGTTGTTGTCGTCTCGAAGGAAAACAAATCTGTTCATATTATTTTTAGCACCTGTGAAACTGTTTTGCATTCGCATCGTAAGTAAGTAAATCTCTAATTCTGTTTCTGCGCTCACCTCTTGCAGTGTCGCTACCTGGCGCTGGAACTGGCCCAAGTGAGCAGCCAACCATATTGCTGATCAACGGCATCAGCGACGACGCTCCGCTGCAAGCGAAAAGGGAAGAGGTAGAGGAAGAGGGAGAGACACCTATACAGAAACAGAGCAAGGCGGCACTGAAGCTAGCCCTTGAGAATAACAACGAACTGCCAGTCAGCGGTTTGAATCAGCCCACACAGGTGCCCACCACGCCGGGCGGCTCGCATTTGCTGGACTTTGAATCTCATCTCATTGAGGACGTGAACAGAGCAGAGCAGAGCGGCATTGGCATCAAGGAGCTGCCGCCCATCGAGCAGGAGCTGCAGACGGGCACATCCAAGGTCGAGGCTGACGGAGTCTCGCATGCCATTGAGGTGGAGCCAGCGGGCGCCAAGACAAAGCAGCCAATAGAGACTCTCGCACCGTCGCATCAAATTGCCGAGGTAGACGAGACGGCAACGGCAACAGCAACTGCAGCAGCTGCAGCAACGGAAGCATCGGAGGCAGTGCGTCAGACTGCCGAGCAGCTGGTGAATGACATTGAGCGCGAGCTAATTGAGAGCTTCAGCAAAGATGTAGCACAGGCCAAGGCGGAGCAGGAAGAGCAGCTCAAGTCAGAGCTAACCGCAGTGAATTCGCTTTCACAGCAGGTGGACGCCCAACTGAATGAGCTGACCAGCATACTCAAGACCAAGGTGCAGCCAAAGATTGCCTTGGAGCAAGCGCGAGCTGAAGATAACTCAACGAAAATCGCTGCCAACGAGCTGAAGCTTGTCGAAGTGCCAACACCCAAATCGGAGGCAGAGGAACAGCAACGCAAGGAGTTCATCGACTCACTGCCACAATTCGAACAGGATCGCCTGGATACTCACACGGATGCGGAGGCCAAGCGTCTGTCCGCCGACTGCAAGCGAGAGTATTACCAGTCGCTGAAGAAGTATCTGCTGCAGAGCAGCCTAGACAAGCCGCCGGTGCCGCTGCAGACCTATCGCTGGGAGGATCTCCGAAGGGCCAGAGAGCGGGTAAGTCAGGAACACCCTAAACCCCATAAACATCATCATTATATATATCATCAAATGTCCGTTTGCAGGGCGGCTATCCTTGGACACATCTGTACAAGCGTCCCCTGGGACCCGACGAGGAGCCGGAGATTGTTTTGCTGCTGCGCAAGTCGCAGGAGCTGCGCTTCAAGTCCGAATCACCCAAGTCGCTGAAGAAGGTGCGCTACGACGAGCAGGTGTTGGTCAAAGAAACCGAGCGCTACATACAGGATCTGTCCGAGGACGAGGTCCTGGACAACACAGACGACGACGACAGCAGCGAGGAGTCCGAAGATTCCGACGACTCAGAGCGCCGCTCCCACAACGAGGACACGCTCAGCGAGTGCATCTCCTGTGTCTCCGACTCGGTGCTCGCCGTTGGAGGCCACGCGAGGCCAAGGAAAACGAATCGCCTAGCGCAAATACGTGACATCATCAAGCGCAGGCGCAGCGGACGCACTCAGGCCGACGCTCAGTCGCTGCCCGGCAGCTCGGCAAATCCTAGTAGACAGGGCAGTCTGCACGAACTAGCGCCGCCGCCAGGATCGTTAGTTCCGAATACAGACAAGCCGCCCAAGAAGCAGCAGCAGAAGCCAAAGAAGAGCTTCGACATTATGAAGAAGCTCAAGAGCTTGGCGGAGCGCCAAAAGAAGCGCCTGAACATCAAGCGCATTACGCTCAAGAAGGACGAGAAAATCGTCCTGGGTGAGCAGCAGAAGATTATGAAGCTGAAAGCCTCACCAAAGTCGACCCGCGGCGAGATACCGCACTTTATAGAGAAGCAGGACTCCGATGATGTGCTCGAGCTGGTGGAGTACGACGAATCGCCCTGCAGGAAGCGCACCAAAGAGGAGGAGCAGCAGGATGAGCTGCCCAGCACCAGTGCAGCAGCCAGCGTGCCACAGCCGGACGAGATCATTCAGCTGCCCGTGGAGCAGACCAAGACTGAAACGCCCGCCCAGGAAGTCAGCGAGTCAACACCAGAGGCTGTCGAGGAGCCCATCGAGGCGGAGGCGAAGGTAGAGGCGGAGGCGGAAGTGGAGACGCCGCCCAAGAAAACACCACGGCTGCGTCGTGACCATGTTTACGAGGAGATTGGCCACGCGGAGTCGCAGCTGCCGCTGGAGCAGCCCATCGTGGAGCTCGATGCACTGAAGAAGTCGCTAATACGTCAAGATAATCTCACTGTAGATGACATCGAGGCAGCCAAGCCTGTGCCCCTCGATCGCATGGGCAGCAGCGAGGAGGATCAGGTGGCCGTGGCTGCTGCCGAGAAATCTGTGGGTCTCCTGGCGCCACTCTCGTCCATAGACTCCACGTCCTCGGATGAAGACCGTGCGCGTCTCGCACAGCTGTCGCCCGTTGTCGAGGAGAGCGACGAGCCATCCGAGATTACCGAGCTGCGACCCGCATTGAAGAAGGAGGCCTCGCCGGCGCCATCCGACAAGAAGGTGACCTTCTCCCACGTCGAGGATGAGGCCGAGCCGCATCGCGAGGACATCGAGCTGCCCGAGGATGTGCTGGAGGCGGCCACAACAGCGGCCAAACTGAAGAGCGATAGGTAAGTGCGGGGTTGGGGCCTTATCTCTATATAGTATTCTTTGCACAATACTAACACGGAGCACAACACAACGCCGTCTTGCAGAAACTCTAACCCAATTGACTTGCTTATGAAATTGTTACTAACCCTCGTGCCGGGTGTCGATGGCGACGGCCTGCGACGTCGTCTGCACAGTCTCCGGTACAAGCAACACAAGCCCTACTATCGCGATTACCACTACACCGACAACAACCACACAGACAACACCTCAACCTACACGCCCACTCGCACGCCCACGCCCACTCACAGAACCTGGCGATTGAAGCTAACCAACACTTGGACGCTCTGCTGCTGCTGCAGCAGCAGTGGAGCAACCAAGAAGTATTGGTAAGGGGTAGCACTTTGGAGACGGCTCTTAACTCTTAACATGATATAGACCCAAGGTAAGAACTGCGATAAGCAAGAGGAAATTTGTAAGCGTCCGTGTTGTCCCCCTCGATTCGAAACTGGTGTTGGTAAATCTCAAAAATCATTGGTGAACAGCAACTGGTTCAATTGAACAAATAAACGTTAAGACGAACTAATGAATGGTAAAGTGTGAAACTAGCTAAAGGATCAAAAATTGTGTTTATACTGCATTGTTCATTTATGGAACTAGTTCAAAGGTATTGAAACTAGTTCATATGAACTTAATTAGTTCATGGACTGTGCTACTAGTTAAAATAATAAGAAATATAGGTTAACTGCATTGGTGAGCTGCTTGTGGAACTAGTTCACAGAAAACAAGCATGTTATTGGTATGAAATAAGTTCGCCTTAAATCTAACAATAATCTACAGCATGAGTGTCAATGGAATATATGAACTAAGTTCATTTTATTACTGTATATGAACCTATATGTTTGTAAATGTTCATTGTTTAACTTGCTGGAATTAGATAAAGATACATCAAATATGTGTGGAAAAGGTGGAACTAGTTCATCCAAATATTTGGACTTATAACAAAAATTATTATATGATTGGCTTCGTGAATTGCTAAGCTAATTCTGGAAATAGTTCGCAACACCAATCGGAACCAGTAAATTTTAAATTTCTATACTCCTTAACTATATATTTACTTGCACATGATTCTATTTGAATGAACGATGCTGTGACATGAACTTACATTAAAACACGAATAATTCAAACGCCTTAAAGGTCAACGAATGACAAGAAGATTTCCGGCAGGCGGCAGCGGCGCATTGCTCAAAATAGAACCACTAAGTGCAGGCCAACAAATTGTTACTCCTGCTGCTCGGCCACATCCCAATTATGAACAAGCAGCGCAGTCGGCGTCGGCATCGCAGTCGCAGTCGCAGTCGCAGTGGACGTCGCAGTTGAAATGGGGATTTTAAACGAGGAAATTAAAGACAACTACAAATTCAATTCATGCTGCCCATTGGCAATGTATTTGTCGCCCCAAGCATGTATATGTGACTGTGTGTGTGTGTGTGTGCTTTTTGCTAATTTTAAAGAACAACATATTCAAAAACGAAAATTTTCGTAAAAATTTTTTGTGTCGCGTAAAATGTGAAAAGCTCTCAGTCCTGGCCGAAAATCGCAACGATGTAGACGCTCGCCTCGAACGGGCCGCAGTGCAAGAAAAGAAAGAAAAAGAGAAAAGATAGAAAGAAAATCTAGATCACGAAGAATCTGAACTATATAACATACAAAAGACATCTGTGCTGGAAGCGCCCAGTTCGAATAGGGCTTGAAGACTAGAAAAAGCTCGTTTCGCCATTACATTTTCAATAGTGCAAAAATAGCTGTAAAAGCAGAAAATTTAAAGAAAATTATAAATTCAATGTCCAAAGGCGGCGACGACGGCGACGACGGCGGCTGCTTTGGTGATGCTTAAAAATAGACAACGACCACGAACCACAAAACGACAACGAAACTAAGACGAACAAAAGCGAAAATAACAACAACAGCAACAACAACAACAACAATAGCTACATCTAGCGGATTACGGACCAGGGCCAAGTAAATAGGCAAAGCTGCAGCGACAGCTGTTCAGCCGTTCATCTCAACATCGTCACATCACTCCTCGGGTCAGCAGCTCGTCGGCTGAACGATGCTCAGTTCGAGGCGCTCCGCCTCGGTGGGCGCTCTGCCCGCTGAGAAGAAGCATTTTGTGTCGCGCGTGGAGAGCGCTAGCGGCGCCTCGTTGGATGTGCGTTGTGCCTGTCAGTTCTTTCAGTGTGATTCGCTGCTGCCGGAGCGCGTGAATCCCGTGGATTCGCGACCTGGTTCCAGGCAGGGCCACCACAGCGATGACCACTATCACGTGCAGCCGGACGACTTGTCCATGCACAGCTTTGAGGTGATTAGCCATGCGGATGTGGCGCCCTCGGTGGATCTGAGCTTCATGGAACGCTATCCGGAGCTGGAGCAAACGGCTCGTTCGCGTGGCCTGGTCGTGCGCAGCATCTTGGATGCCACGGAACCGGATATGCCGGGCACTCACGGCGCTCTGATGGCGGGCCGACGGCGCCAGCTGTCAGTGGGCGGATTTTCCTCGGGCAGCGTTGGACGCTTCGGCGACACCGTGTCCATGCGCAGTGGCACCTCCCTGCGTCGCATTTCGGTGGGCAACTCCAAGACGGACCTCTACTGTGCGGACATTAATATACCCACTTCCATGGGTCGTGCAGGACATGGAGGTCAGCGCTCGGCCAGCGCCAGTCGTCGTACCTCCAATGCGGATCTGTTTCAGGCCAGCATCGTGCCGGGCTCGCTGCAGCCGCCGCAGTTGAATCTGATTGCCGCCACGCCCAGTCCGGGCATGTCAGACAGCCCACCCCAATTTTCATCACACCAATCCTCGCCAGCGCCAGGAGCCCGCGACTTTCGCAATGCCAAGCCGCCCTTGTCTCCGGATTACATGCGTCCCAGCGCTGAAAACAAGGAGAACCAGTCGCCAGACGCAACGCTGCCACAGAATCGACCCATTGATGTTTCTCGCTTCGGCTGCGATTCAGTGCGTCCCACGTTTTTGCTGGAATCAGACTTGAGGCATCAGGAAAGTCCATACAAGCCCACAGTCACGCCCATCGATCCGCTGGCCGAAACTGTGGCGGAGCTGGAGCAGATTGCCCAGGAGCACAACCTCGTGAATATCAGAGACAACATACAGACGCAGACCAGGCGTCCGCCGTCCATTGCCAGCGAGCTGAGCGTCAAGCCCTTGCAGGTGGATGAGTTGACCCAAATTGAGATTGTGAACGAAGTACCCGTTGTGGACATTGATGCGCTCGTGCGGGATGAGGAGCTGAAGGCCGTCGAGCATCGCAGCCGCAGTCCCAGGCCATCCAGGCGGCCAAAGTCGCCGCAGCCCCCGCCAACGACCTCTGCTGCAGCTCCGCCTCTGATGGACACGCTGCAGTTGCCCTCGAGTCGACCCAGCAGTCCTCCTGCACAGCCAACTGCGACGCCAGCTGCTGCCTCACAGCTGAAGCGCCAACACACGCCCGAACGCCAGCTCTCGCCGGAGCGAGCCTCCAAGTGGCAGCCCATGTCCAGCTCTGCTCCTGCTACGATTGCAGGTGCCATCAACGTGCAGGCGGCCTCACCGGAAGTAAAGAGTTCCTATGCCTCGCGCTTCAAGTCCATGTTCAGCTCCAAGGGACAGGAGCAGCAACAGAGGTCGCCCACTCCACAGCGCTCACGCTCACCCTCGCCGTTCGTGGACAAGTCCCAGTCGATCACACGGGAGAAGTCGCCCTCGCCCAGCAGGCTGACCTCTGTGTTCGCCAAGAGCAAGCCCCAGCCCATGTCGATAGTCAGCAGCACGTCGAACGTGTTAAAGCGCCAGGACGCCGAGCCGCTATCCGTGCGAGTGACAGAGACCTTCTCGCTGAAGGTCGATGAGATGGACCAGTACAGCTCGCATCCGCCAAAGCCACTGGTGCCACCTCCCCATGCCCAGACCATGTACAGCAGCCGGGAGGACTTTGCCGCCTCGGAGCGGGCCTCGGTGGACATCAGCGAGGCATTTGCCCCGGTTGTCGTCTCGTCTGTGCCGCGGGGTACTCTAAGCAGCATTGGGGGCGTCAGCTTCATGGCCGGCAATCGGAATCTCTACTCCAGCGAGATTGAGATGCCTGGCATGAGTTGGTCGCAGAGTGAGTCGGAGTTTCGGCACTCGGTCAGCAAGGATCCATCGACTGGCAGTCGCCCGCTCATATCCGTGCCCATTCACATTACGGGCAGTGGCAGCCAGGTATATCGGCCGTCCGAGCAGCGCCTTGGCCTGCGGAGCAGCAAGCTTTCTGTTAGGGAGCCACGCACACAGTCACAAGATCACCGTGGCCGATTAGCCGGCTCCCATGAGCAGCTGTATGGGTCGCCGGCTCGCATGACAAAGACGGTTAGTTTCAATTTTGATGAGCGTAGATCGCGTCTAGCGGAATTTGAGTCCGATTCGCCCCTAACCCAAAAGCAAAAAGATCACATCGACTTCCTCGACCGGACCTATTTCTCTCGGTAAGCAACAGCTACCCCACCGTCGGCATAGACCAAAACCCGACAACCCGAAAACCCCTCCAGACACACACAGCCACCCAGAAATTCCAAAAACCAAAGCAATGAGAACAGGGTGACGGCTTAACTAATCTTCGCTTGCAGCAAATCACAAACAGAGCAACATCTTTATGTCGATTGTCATCCCTATGTAGAATGCTTAATAATGTGTTCCATCTCTTCCCCCTTTCTCTCCTCTTGCAGTGATCATGAATACGAGCCCGTGGGTGTGTCGCCGGCGCGGGAGATTGAAGCCGCGGCAGCAGCTGAGCCGGCGCCCGCCCCCGCCCCTAACAGCAGCAGCCTCCAGATACCCATGGATGTTGACATTGAACTGAGTTCAGCTGGAACCACGCCACGCACCGAGTCTCGCACGGACTACGAGATACACACCAGCCAAGTGGATTCGAGCGCTTTGGAGGAGCTGCCACTGCAGCCGGAGAATCGCAAGAAGAGTTTCATGGCATCCGCCCAAGATCGCACACGCAAGATGCAGGATGGCCTCCGGAATCAGGCGGGCAAGCTGCGCACCAAGCTGCGCACGCAGCCCAAGCCGAAGCCCGTCTCGGGCAGTCCCAAGGCCAAGGAGCGCCGACGATTTGCGCCCGAGTTCTCGAAAATCAAAATGCCCGAAATTAAGCGACCCGACATGTCCAAGCTGAGGGACATCAAGCGGCCGGAGTTCACCAAGTTCAAAAAGCCCGACATGTCCAAATTTAAGCTGCCCGAGAAATTCTCCACACTGAAGCTGCGACGCAGCAAGAGCTTCAAAGAGAACGAGTCCGAGTTGCCCACCGAGTCCACGGAGTCGCCAGCCACCACGGCTGATGCGGCGCCGGCGCCTGCAAAGAAGAAGTTCGAGTTCAACTTTGGCACCTATCCACGCGCCTTCCGCAAGAAGAAGCCCGTCGAGGAGACGCCGCCGCCCATGGAATCCTCGCTGGGCACAGACCGCCTCAGTGTCAGCGTCATACCCAGCACCGAGACTCAGCCGTCGCAGACCTCCACGAGCTCGCCGCAGGGCGACCGTGGACCAGGCCCAGTGCGCTCCCGTTGGGCGGACAAGTTCTCCGATGTGAGCTACAATGACAGCGAAGGCTCGCGCTACAGACGCTATGGCAGCGAATTGGAGAGCTTTGACAGGGAGTCCTCGCTGGAGCGGCGCATGAAGGAGGACTTGGAGGGCGATACGGCCAGCGAGGCGCAGCCACAGACCGAAATGGGCATCCTTGGCGGCGTGACGGACAGCAAACAGTTTGCCGAGTTCGATGAGGAGAATCGCGCCATACACGAAATCTCCAGCCAGCGCACCAGGGAGTTCAAGCGCCGACCCATGGTGCACCAGGACTCGGATCTGCGCTCTGAGGATAGCCACGATGCTGAGGGCTGGACGGAGAAGGATATACAGAAGAACAAGCTGCTGCGCAAGGCCGAAATGGATGCGGAGGCCAGTTACTATAAGTACCATGAGATGCAGGATGCCCAGTCGACGGCCAGCTCCGGCAAGAAGGTCGTCATGGAGCAGATCGACGATGACGAATTCTTCTTGCGCAAGCGCGGCATCTCCGAGGACAACATCCAGCTGCGCCAATACATCAGCGATGCCATACGCGAGGGCTACGATCCGCCCAATGCCCTACAGCACGTCGGCCGCTCCGCGCGGCAGGAGGAGCGCGCGAGGACTGAGGACTACGGCGATTACGATGTGCCGCCGCCCAAGCCCCGCCGCCTGCATCGCAATTATCGCCCCGACTTCGAGGACTCGCAGGAGTTCCAGCGCAGCGACTACGGCGACGATCTGTCCATGTCACAGAACGGCAGCGACTTCATGCCCAAGCGGCCATTGCGCAAGGCACGCAGTCGCAGCAAATACTCCATGGAAGGCAGCCAGGACATACCGATGGCGGATGGCGGCAGCAGCATCCAGTACTTCGACGACGATGAGGAGTACCTGAGGCCGCCCATGCGCGAGCAGCCAACGGAATCGGAGCAGGCCCTCAACAATCTCAACTACGCTGCCCAGGAGCAGCCCAGCACCCAACAGAACCGCCCACAGGCACCCAGACGGCAAAAGAAACGCACACGCGACGACGCATCTGTGGAGAAGGACGCGGACTCGTTCATCAATGGCTTTGGTGGTAGATCAGTATCGAACACCTTTTTGCAGCCACACGAAGATGTGAGTACAAAATGAGAAACTACTATTAAATATAAAGATAATAACTTAATAAATGGTTTCTTTAGTACTTATATATAAGGTAGTAACCTATTTCAGATAACAACTTTATAGATTGTTTCCTTTGTGTAAACATATCTAAATCTGATCTATATTGATAGATTTGTTCTTTAGTATGTATATATGAGGAAGTCTGACGTATGAACGTATCTAGAGCTGATTCAACTAGGTATTTCAATATAGTAGTACTACTATTTATATATGTACAGAGTATTAGTCAGGCGTTTAAACATATCTAGATCCAATCATATGATAGAATTCATATTAAATTTTTAATTTTCGACAAATAATTCCCAAGACAGCTATATAATATAGGGCAGTCCCATAGTGCTAGCGCTATCTAGAATGTATTCTGTTAAAATTCAAGAATTTTGCATTGTAGTAGCTACTAAATTGAGGTACTACGATGTACAGCATTCTATTGCACATTGTTATAATATATGTTCTGTCAGTGGAATGGATCGATGCCAATAAATTTAAATTTGGTATTTAGCAAAGCACCGTCTCCCTATATACATACGTATACTATATCGAGTTGCATCTGTGTCGTTTGTCAGGTAATTGTTTATCGCACTGAGCACGAATATCAGCATCACATACCGTTAGCCACGCCCGACACCTTTACGGACGGCACCTCGGCCCGCACCCAGCGCTCCGAGGATGAGCGCACCTCGCGTGGCGCCGAATCGCTGATCCTGGATGTGCACACCAAGCCGGAGCTGCTCAGCAAGGATGCAGCGCCCAGAATTGAGAGCGAGGAGAAGTTCGTCATCGACATGCTGGAGAGCGATGGGTGAGTAACGGGGGTCGCATTAGGTCTCCGCTGGCCAAATTGTTGCTTAGGTGTGCGCTCTCTGCTTTCCCTCCTCCATCTAGCTATGCGGTGGTGCGCAAGGAGCCCGTGCCAAAGCCGACGCCCCCGGCGCGTCGCAAGAAGTTCACACGTTCGCCCGGTGAGCGTTTCGCCACCCTGCCCAGCATACGCGGTTCGCGTGGCTCCCCGCCTCCGGCCCGCCCGCCGCCGCCGCAGCAGTATATACCTAGCGAGGATTCGCCACTGCCGCCGCGTCGCAGATCGGCTGCAAGTCTGGAGGAGATGACCACCGGCCTGCTGCTCAAGTCAAAGTAAGAACAGCTGCTGCTGCGACGCTTGCATTGAAATATTATTTAAATCTTGATTTGATTTGTGACTTTTTGCGACCTTTTTAAAAAATTGTCTCGAATGCATTTTTGTTAAGTTTTGTTTTCGTTGTTAAGCAATTAGGCTTAAGCGCCATAAGCTAAGACCCAGAAATACTGCTAATTAATACTATACTATACCTTGTAGACACACACACACACACACACACACATACACACACACATACTTACAAATAAAACCTAAACATGAAACACAACAAAAACGCACTCACACGAGTTTGCCCAGCTTTTATTTGCCTAATCCTTCTGTTTCGTTTGCCGCTTGCTTCCACCCGAGTCCGAGACCAAGCGTTTCTAATACTACCCTATTCCCTAGCTACGCGACCTTGCCATCCGCACAGCCGGATCGGGATCGGGATCGGGAGCGACAGCAGGCACAACTGGTGGAGGAGGAGGATGATTACGAGGAGCCGGGCGCACTACAGCGACCCGAGTCCCCACGCTCGAATCTGCAGTCCGGCGAGGTCATCAACAAAATGAAGTTCCGACCGCTGCCACCGCCACCACGCCCACCGCGCGAAAAACGCTCAACGAGGGGCGGCAGCGGCTTGGACGAGGACAGCGAGCGCGTGGCTAGCTCCTCGACGGCCGATAGTACCGAGCAGGGTGAATTCGAGGTGGAGGTGTCCACACAAACGGACCCATTGCCAGATGATTTTATTTGCGAGGAGTTTGAGATTACGGAGGATATGAAAATCATAGAGCCTCGTCGCCCCACAGGTGGCAAGACTACACTGGAGGATTTGCTGCGCAGCACAGAGGCCCAGCAGCCGGATGAGGTGGATGGCGCTCCAGTGCTCACCGAGGATGAGCAGCTAGCCAAGGGATTGCAACGATTCCGTGATGCTAATCAGCGCAGCTTATCGGAACGCTCACGTGCATCTTCACAAGCGGATCGCTCCAAGTCTCTGAGTCGTCCACAGACTCCATCGTCAGCTGTAATCATAGAGCGACGCGTGCCCACGCCTAGCATCGAAGGCGATGCCACGGTGCAAGCGTCACTGATTGTGCGCCCCATTAGCGCTGCTGACCTGGAGGATGACGAACTGCGTCGCGAGGAAGAGGAGCTAAGACGCGAGGGATTGCTGTCTGATAGCTCGGTGCAGAGCAAATCTGACGTGGAAACAGCCGGTGAGGAGGATGAGCGTGGCGAGGTCGCCCTTAGCGACTATGCAGCCAGCTCAGCCGACCTGGAGGCAGCTGTGGAGCAACTGCAGCAGGCGCAGCTCGAGAGTGACTACGACAGCAAGCTGGAGGATGATGAAGTGGAGCGTACGCTACGAGAGAGCGAGTACGATGAAGAGGATGATGAGAAGTACTCCGATCACTTTGACGAGGAAGAAAGCTCGCAACCTAAGGGAGAGACAACAGACCAGGAGCTGGACGAAGCACTCGAAAAGGAGCTGCAAGAGGAAATGGAAAAGATGCTGGCCGTGTACAGACAAGCAGAGATCGCAGAGTCAAGAGCAAAGGCGCTTGCCGAGGAGCAACCCACATCCGAAGAGGAGCACGTGCTATCAGAGGAAGAGCGCATTCTATCTGATGCAGAGCAGGTGTTGTCCGAAGTGGAGCAGGCACCATCCGAGGTAGAAACTGTACAATCTGAAGCGGAGCCGGCTCAATCCGACGCTGAGCCTGCTCTATCCGAACCTGAGCCTGCTTTATCCGAAGCAGAGCCTGTTTTATCCGAGGTAGAGCCAGAGGAACCGTCACAAGTGGAGCAAATTACAGTGGAAGAAGCACCCATTAGGAAGACCATTGCACATGAACCCACTGAAGCAGAAGTCGATGCCATATTTGTTGCCTCTTTACCCACCGAACCTGCTACGGCCTACAGTCCAGAGCTGCCCGCAGAAGCAGCCGGAGCAGAGCCAGAGGCAACGCCCTTGCCGCCGCCACGTCGTAAATCCACCACATTCGTCGAACCGACAGCTACTTCAATACTGACCATTGCCGAGCAGGTGAGCCGCGAGCTAACGCCCATTCAGGCACTGCGAGCCTCGCCTCCGCTGCAGCTGCCCACCCACATCCAGGAGCTGGAGGTGGAGCGACTGCGGGTGCATGCGCTGCAGGCTGGACAGATTCAGGTGTCCCAGCTGCACGGCGGCCAAGTCACAGCCGATGAGCTGGCCTGCAAGTCGGGTCAGCTGGTGGTGCAGAACATTAATCTGCCACCCGGTTTTATAGACGACATTGTGGAGCGCGTCAAGGAGCAGCGTCCATCGTTGCTAACCAGCGAAACACAGACGAGCCGTCAAGCCAGCAGTGAACCCGCCACTAGCGATGTGGAGCCACCCACCAAGCCGCCACGCCAAGGCAAGATCAATGAGTCAACGCCTGCAGCCACCCAGAGCAATCTGGACGAGCAGACACAAACAGAAGCCGCAATGCTTCCATTGCCACCACCGCCACCTGTGTATCCCAGTGTTGAGTATCTGCAATCCCTGGCTCCATTGGCCTTCTATAACTTGCAGCGCAGTGCTGAAGCGGAGCAGGCAGGAGCAGCTGCTGCTCCTGGCAGCTCGGAACGCAAGGCGCCGCACAAATGCCGACGTCGCCATGTGCACGAACAGCAACAGGAATTCGACTCCGACTCAGAGCTGGAGGAACAACTCGAGAGGGCGCGTTCTCGTTCGCGTTCGCGTCGCTCGCGCACGCGCAGCGCCACACAGGCAATGGAGGAGTTCGATGATGATCAGCCCAAGACAGTGGCGCAGGCCGGTCGACAGTTCCTTTCCGTTTGCAGCCTAGAGCTGATTAACATAATCAACCACCTGACCCACTTTGTCCGCGGTGAGGTTGAGCCGGTGCAGCAGCCCAGAAATATATCCTCGCTGATGGTGCTCTTCATATTGATCACCTTCGCTGTGATCGTCTTTCTGCTGACGGGTCGCCAGGTGCACACACACCATTGGGACTACTTCAATCCGCCGAGCAACGAGGGTAGGCAAACGTGAAACCTAAAGAGCTCCCCAGATTTTGGACATTTTGTGGCTTGGATATTTTGTATACCAAATGATACTTGGGCAATTTTTCTTTGCATTTTGGAGCATGAAACGAATTTAGAAAGCGTCGGGCACAAGCCGAACGCTCGAAACCAAAGGCCTTAACATTAATGATATATACTACATACTAACAAAATAAATACTTTAGGAAGGATGCAAAGTGAGAGGCGATGCCTGTGCTACTCTAGTCGCAGCTTAACAACTTATCAATCGAACAACAACAATCAGTCAATCAGTGAATCAATCCCAGTTCAGTAACAAACACACTGACTTATATAGAACATATATCTCATACTAACCGAAATACAAGAACAATATCATGTTTTTCTACAATACTCCCAAAACAACAACAGCAACAACAACAATAACTAAAGATCATGTATTAAATATGTACTTAAACTAAGTAATAGAAATCATTTATTAGCTACCTGATATATGGTGAGCTATCCAGAATGGGGCTCAAGTTTGTTGGCGAACAGACAAAGTCAACTTAATAATATCTAAATATTGTTCACTCATTTTTTCTATTTTTCGAATTGTTCAATATTTAAAGAATCGATTGTTGTTTTTTTTATTTTATTTTATTTTAAATATATACATTTTATTTAGACCTGAGTTAGGTATAATGCACACATAAATGATGAATTGTTTTACTTATCATTATATACGCATGTTTTTCTTTTATTTACAAAGAAGCAATTGATTTGAACCGCGCGAGGGTAAAAATATGTAAGTTCTTTATATATAAACTTATAGAAAAGCGTATTTTCAATAAAGCAAGAAACTACATAAACATGATTAATGAACTTACTGACTTACCAAATGTGTGAAATGAAATGAAAGAAATTATGATACAAATTAAATATGCAAACTAGGCTAAATCCTTTACTTTAAGAAATCATCATCATATTGAACCATTTGACGCAAATCCTTGTGACTTCCCTTTTGCGATTTGCTGGCAGCTGCAAGCGAAAGAGGAAATTAGATAACGATACTTGCACAACTTAAATTAAAGCCGCTTACCTATAGAAGACCAAACTGCTGAAGATGAAGCATCATTGATGGGCTCAATTTGCGGCTGGCGGCGAGCTAGTTGCACCTGCAGAACAATTCCATTCACGTTCTTGCCGTGCATTTCGGCTATGGCGCGATCTGCGGATTCCGGCTTAGCAAACGAAACAAATCCGCGACTGCAAATCACATAGATTATTAATATATATGAGTTCACCATTATGAACAGCTCAACACGCACCTCTTCTCAATCTCCATAGATACATTGACGATGGTGCCATAATCGTTGAACGTTTTCTTAAGAAACTCTTCAGTAACTTTGTTGCCCGAGACGAATATCGTATTGCCAGCGCGAGGCTTCTCTGGCTGCGTAGCATCTAGCGTCACTTTCTCTGTCAGTCCACGTTCCTCACGATCGCGTTCCGTGGCAAAGTGTTGGTACAAATTCTGACGGCGTGGCTCCTCTTTTATAATTTCACTGATAATGGTCTCCTGTGCCACATCGTTCTGTGTCGATGAGAAAGGTTGATACGCAGCCACGGTCGTCTCTGAGGTGGAACGTTTGGCACGCTCCTGGCCCTTTGGCCGCTTAAATGAGGTTTGGTCCTGCTTTGTTTGCTGCTTTTGTATGGCGGGAATGGCACCGCTTTTGATCAGCTTACGAGCCACTTCCCTCGCATCACGCGCATCTGTAGGCCGTTTCAATGTAAGAGCGCTCTCTGGCTCCTGCTTGGGCGCTTTGTGAGCTTGTAAAGCTTTTTTCTATAACAATAAGAATTACTTATAAGGAATTCACTTCAAGACGCCACTTGGCCAGAGTGTCTACCTTTTTCTTCAGTTTTTGATATTTGGCTTGGAGCATCTGCTCCTCCTCTGTTAGATTATTTGGAAAGTGTATGTAAACCATTTTGGTATTTTGTTACGTTTTTAAGTGTCTTGTATTTTTCCTCAACAATATTTTAATAACACACAAAAGTATAAACACTCTTACTGAAAGTACCAGATCATGCCAAATGTGATTAAATAGATACTTCTGGTAACGTACTAGCGTTGCCAGATCGTTTAAAATATTTCTTGATGGAAACATCTATTGCGATATTATGATAAATAAATAACTGAATTAATAATAAATTTATTAAAATAATAATAATAAAAATAGTGCAAATATTTTATCTATTCTCAAGTAATTTAGAAATTATTTAAATCCAAAATTTTTGTGATATATCTGCAATCAACTCATTTTGGAACTGGCAATAATAATAACAGTGCTGTAACGCACACTCCAATTGCAACCCTGTATTGGTGCACACATTTCGCCATGTTGATGCCGAGCTGTCAAAATTGTTACGTTCCTTCTCTTTCTTTCCGGTTAGCGTCATGGTAAGATCCAACAAAGTATTTTCCTCATTTGGATTGAAAATGTGAAAATAAAAAGGTTTAAAGTGCGCTTACTGAATTAAGAAATTCTTGGGAAAACCGCGTTGAGCTACTGCTAACGAAAAATCGCCAAACAAATAATTCTGTGATTGTATTAAATGCAATGAAAATATTTCACGTGGTGCCCAGAACGGTTCAGCTAGCAGCCAACGCGCAGTCCATACTACACCCCGCAAATTGAAAAGGATTTTTACTAATATAAGTTTTTTTTGTTGTGTGCTTGCAGCCTTTCGAGAGATTCGTACAAACTGGTCGCATCGCCAAGGCCTCCGCAGGTCCCCTGAAGGGTCGCCTGGTTGCCATTGTCGACGTCATTGATCAAAACAGAGTAAGTGGATCCACCTGTGCGGGAATAGCAGCAACAATAAATGTGTGTTCGCTTGAGGCAGCAGTCATTCGCAAATGATGATAATTTGTCTTCTTGATAGGAAGTGCCAACTGACACATAAATGAAGCTAAGTTACTTAACTGAAAGCAAAAACTGTCCGCCAACCGCCAAATACAATACACACACAATTGTTGCTGCTCAATAATTGTATTGCAGTTGAACTAATTTATTTATTTCTTACAGGTTTTGGTTGATGGACCTCTGACTGGTGTTCCACGTCAGGAATACAGATTGAACAATCTGCATCTGACCAAGTACCGCATCAAGTTCCCATACACCGCGCCCACAAGCATTGTGCGCAAAGCCTGGGTGGACAGCGACCTGAAGGCACAATGGAAAACCAGCGCCTGGTCCATTAAGGCACAAAACATCTGCAAGGTGAGGGAAATACAGAGCTGAACTTTCGCTCTCTGTGTGCTGCACATGATGATAATTGAATGTTCTTGATAGGAATTGCCGGCTGATACATACATGAAGCTAGCTTTTATTTTAAACTGAAACCAGCTTAAAATTGATTAACTTTACAAGTTGCTTACGTTTCGGAATACTAATTCTGGTATCATTTATTCTATTGCAGCGCTCGCAATTAAACGACTTTGACCGTTTCAAGCTGCGCTATGCCAAGCGTCAGCGCAACAAGTTGCTGACCATTGCCTTCAACACATTGAAGAAGCGCACCAAGTCCGATGGTACACCACGCATCCTGAAGAAGGATCGTCGTGAGCGTCTGCGCGCCGAGAAGGCCAAGCCCAAGGCCAAGAAATAAAATGGAAAATAAATTTAATGAAAGTAACTGCTTGATGAACATCCAACTCAAAGGAGCAAATAAAAGAAGTGTTATTTTTAGGAAAAACACGAAGACCCCCTGTTTAATCTATTCCTACATGGAAGCAGTATATCTAAATTTTATATAACAGTTTTATTTGCTTTTGAAAAACAAAAAACAATTTTTGAGCAACTAGCACCAGTTCCCTATGGAGTCTTATTGCAATATATGGTTTTCCAGTTGTTGGGATGGTTGTAGCCCAGCAGGACAGGCAGATGGAGAAAGAGAGTGATATGTTCGCCTTGTATCGACGTGGATACTTTCACCCACTTGCGTAGCCAATCGATCATCTCCTCCGCGCTCAGGTCATCCGGATTTAGGCCCCGCAGACAGCAGGAGTACCGCAACGAAGCCAAGCTCAGATTGTGAACGCCACCCTCACGGGTAATAGCCATGTCCATAAAGTGCACTAGGAATGCGTGCTCGTGCAAGCGGTGACGCTTGAATAGGCTGTTAGGTAGTCCATGCATCTTGACTAGACATTTCTGCAAGGAAAACAATATTCAGCTTAAACAAAACAAAGATATTGAATAGGAAGCATTTGTGCGTACGACGTGTTTTCGCGACATGCCCAACAAAGAGTAGGGTCCCTCGGCAAAAATGTCTTTGACTGAGATGAGCGCCTCCGGTGTAGGATGTGTGCCGCTGCCAAGTTGACCCAGAATCGCCTCGAACTCTGCGTACTTGTGGTGACCCTCAACCTGCTTAAGTTTGGCCTGAAGGCAGCGGAGCACGGATTTGTTGCACTGAAGCCGGCGTTTCGTATAGTATTTCTGGAACTCGATACGTTGCGGTTCCGTCCAGAAGTGAGGTGTTAGGAAAATGCGTGGGTACCAAAAGCTGCATGAGATTATATATACAATTCTCTGTTGAAATGTTCTGTTTACCAATTCACTTACACAAGCGGAAAGAAAGCATAGCCCACCATTGGCAAGGAGCAGCCAATTAAGGCAGGCGCTACTTTCATCATATCGCGCGGCATTTGCATATACAGTTCGAGCTCTTGACGATTCAGTGCCCGTATGCCCTGCGGCGCATGGTTGGCAATGCGCGAAATCTTCAAGAAACGCTTCATGTCCGCAAAGAAGTCCTTAACTCCCTCGAAGAACACTCTATAGAGCTGCATAGCCTTCGGAAAATTCTTTTCCAGTACTTTGTCATAGTTTTTTACATAGTTAAAGTAACGCGTGAATATGTATTCCTGCACATTGTCGCGCATCTGTTCGCGCTTTGACTTGGGTTGCTCCTGCTCTTTATCCTTATCGTCATCCTTATCCTTATCTTTGCTCTCTTTTGGTGGCCCACTGCTGGGAGTAGTTGCAGTTCTAACGACTATTTCACCAGTTGTGCCACTTTTTACTTGCGAACTTAGATTTTTGGAATTCTTGGCATCCCAGGTAGCCTCATAAATGACTTTTCCAACACTTGTTATCTCGGACGCAACATTTCGCTTAATTTGCGGTGGAGCTTTCGTTGCCGTCGATGTTGATTCCTGCTCTTGTGTACTGTAATTCGTTGTCTGCCTGATAATGATGTTTTAAATGGGTTTTTAATGCCGGTTGTCAATCGGGCTAATCATGTAATTACACTCACCTGCTTTGCAGCCTAGACCTGCAACATAATCGTAGCAATCGGCGGCGCTCTTGTGGCCACCTTCCCAAACTGCCACTGCTGTGGGCTAAGCATAACACCCGCAGTGCCAATGCCATTTTTATGTTACAGTCCCAACCTAACACACCACCCACAAGCGTGCGTAATTACGCAACGAGTGCAACTCCGATGCAGGAGCCAGCCTATAATGTTGCACTTAATTATATTAATCTATAACTTGTATTTCTTTTTTTAGGTGAGTGGCCACAGCCAACTTCACGATGTTCAATATTTCATCAACATGCTGCTTCAAATTAAATGTTGCGATACACATTTTTGATAATGTCGATAAGTCGAGTGTGGCAGTGTAAGCGTTGCCACGTTGGTTCATTTTTTGCAGCATATCTTTAGGCGGTAAAAAAAATAAAGAAATTATTTATATAGATTATATTTTTAAATAGATGTTATATGAGTTCGTTAGTTTGGTAATGACTTTTGTCTAGGCGCGAATTTCAAATTTTTAGAGTGTGTCGTCACAAATTGCGTTAAGAGAC